TAAGACTAAATTTAATAATTCTTTTTTTATCTAAAAGTCTATATTACGTTCTATAATTTAAATAAAAAATTTTAAAATTTTAATAGAAAATAAAAAAGTTATTCTAAAATTAAATAATATATATCTATCTTTTAACTAGAGCTATCGAGCGATTAAATTTCTTACGCTTTAATAATTATAGGATTAAATTTTAAAATATTTTTATTATTAAAAAGCGTAAGTTTCGAGCTATAATTTAAAAAAAAAATCTTAAAATTTTAATAGAAAATAGTAAAGTTATTAAAGGGTTAAAAGTAGAAGAAGAGATTTTTAATAGATATAGACGCTAATTTATTTATTTACGATATTTAATTAAAAAGTATAAATCTAACGAATTTATAATTAACTATATATATAAATTTAAGATTTTATAGCTTAATTCTATCTTATTCTTTTATATATATTAATAATTATAATAATAATAATAATAATAAATTCTATTAAGACTTTATATTAAAGAATTTTAACTATTATTTATTAAATTTAATTAATCTATTATATTTTAAAAAAATTAGAAATTTTTCTTCTTTTATCTCTTCTTTTATTATCTCTTCTATTTCTTTTATATCTTACGAGTAAAGGTCTATAAATTAAATTCATAATCATTTTTTTAATTAGGGCTATCGAGTAAGTAGATAAGCGATCTTTAATAAGCGGTCTTTAGTGAGCGAACTTTGGTGAGCGATATTTGAATTCCTTACGCTTTAATAATTATAGAACTAAATTTTCAAATTCTTAAAAATTCGAAAAGCACAAATAGCGCTTTAAAATTTAAAAAAAAATCTCAAAATTTTAATAGAAAACAAAAAAGTTAATTCTATATGTTAATAATATATTTCTATTTTTTTAATAAGGAGAGCGAAGAGGGCGAGATTTTAATAGTTATAAATGCTAATTTATTTATCTACGATAATTTAGCCGATCTAATTAAAGAGCGTAGCGAACTCAAATTAATAATTAACTATATATATAAATTCAAAATTTTTAAGCTTAGCTCTATCTTATTCTTTTATATATATTAATTATATTAAAATCTCGAATATAATCTTTAATAAAGCTCGATCTTATAGTAAATAATATTATATTTATTTCGCTATTATTATAATAATAATATAAAGTTTAATAATAGTAATAAATTTATATAAGAGATATAATAGTCTTTCTTAATAGTACTTATTTACTTTTAAATAAATGTAAATTAAAACTTATTCTTTAACTTAATATATTTATTTATATTTAATCTTATTCTTTTTTTATTACTTTATTTTAATAAATCTATAAAAAGTTATTTAAAGTAATAAATAATTAACTAGTATTAGATATAAACTTCTTTTATAATTTTCTAATAGTATTTTTTTTTAATTTATAAATTAATTAATTAATTAAATTTATATATTAATAATATTAAGAGTTTAAATATAAAGTTATTTCTAGAATTATATTAAAGTTTAACATAGAAATTTCTATTTTATTAAAGTTTCTAAATCTATTAAATAATAATTATAATATTATAATAGAAGTAAAGATCTATAAATTAAATTTATAATTATTTCTTTTAATTAGAGCTATCGAGCGAACTTTAATAAGCGATATTTAAATTCTTTATCTTTAAATATTTATAAGACTAAATTTAATAATTCTTTTTTTATCTAAAAGTCTATATTATATTCTATAATTTTAAAAAAGAATTAAGAAATTCTAATAGAAAATAAAAATATTATTCTAAAATTAAATAATATATCTCTATTTTTTAATTAGAGCTATCGAGCGAACTTTAATAAGCGATATTTAATTTCTTTACTCTTTAATAATTATAAGACTAAATTTAGAAATTCTTTTATTTATTTAAAAGTCTATATTTTATTCTATAATTTAAAAAATAAATTTTAAAATTTTAATAGTTTATAAAAATATTATTTTAAAATTAAATAATATATATTTATTAAGATTATATAATTATTAAGCGAACTTTAATCAGCGATATTTAAATTTCTTATACTTTAATAATTATAAGATTAAATTTAAAAATTATTTTTTTATTTAAAAACTTATATTTTATTCTATAATTTAAAAAAAGAAATTTAAAATTTTAATAGAAAATAAAAAAGTTATTCTATATGTTAATAATATATATCTATTTTTTTAATAATTATAGATATTTATTAAGTTATTTATAATAAGTTAATCGATTTAATTAAAATATATAATAACTTTAAATTTATAATTAATTATATATATAAATTTAAGATTTTTAAATTTAACTTTATTTTATTCTTTATTATATATATTAATTAGCTATAATATTATTAACTATTATAATATTAACTATAAATTAAAATCTATAAATGAAATTTATAATAAGTAATTAATTTTTAAATTTAATCTCGAGATTAAATTTAACTCTCGAAGAGTAGTAATAATTTAATTTAAGATTTATCTAGAATTATAGACTCGAATTTTATAATTTCTATATTATTTAAAAGTCTAAATTATATTCTATAATTTAAAAAAAGATTAATAGAAATAAGAGAAATTATATTAATAATAAATTTATAGAGAATTAATTAACTTTAAATCAATTAAATTTAATTATTAAAAAGTTAATTTTAATATCTATTATAATTTATACTTATTATTTTATTTTATTTTTACTTTTATAATTTTTTAATTTTTTATTAATTTTATAAATTTTATAATTCTACGATTTTTACGATTTTTATAATTTTTAATTTTTTTAATAAGAGAGATTTACGAATTGAAATCGAGAATAAAATAAAATGGTTTTAAAATTTATTAAAATTATTATTATTTAACTATTTAAGTTTATAATAAAAAGTATTTTTAATAAAATAAATAGATAATAAATTTTTTATTCTAAAATATTTATAAGACTAAATTTTATAATTCATTTTTATTTTAAGTCTATACTATATTCTATAATTTAAAAAAAAAATTAAATTTTTTTAATAGAAAATAAATATAATATTCTAAAATTAAATAATATATATCTATTTTTTAATTAGAACTATCGAGCGAACTTTAAAAAGCGATATTTAAATTCTTTATCTTTAAATACTTATAAGACTAAATTTAAATATTTATTTTTTATTTAAAAGTCTATATTATAGTTTATAATTTAAAATAAAATAAAATAAATTTTAATAAAAAATTTTAATATTCTTTTAAAATTAAATTATATAGACTTATTTTTTACTTAGAGCTATCGAGCGAACTTTAATAAATAAACTTTTAATATATAATATTTACATTTCTTATCTTTTAATAATTATAAAATTTAATCTTAAAATTTTTATATTATTAAAAAGCGTAATCTTTATTCTATAGTTAAAAAAGAAAAATTAAATTTTTAATAGAAAATAGTAAAGCTATTAAAAGATTAAAAATAAGTTAAAAGATTATTTAATAGTTATAGACGCTAATTTATTTATTCTAGATAACTTAGCTAATCTAATCGAAGAGCGTAGATCTAACGAATTTATAATTAATTATATATATAAATTTAAGATTTTTATGCTTAACTCTATCTTATTCTTTTATATATACTAATTATAATAAAAAATATAATAAAAATTTATTTAAATCTTTAATATTAGCTATTATAATAGATTAGAATAATAGATTATTTAAATAAATTATAATAGTAGCTATAGTAATAGTAATTATCTATATCGAATATATCGAATTTAAGAGCGTATAAATAAGAATAACGTATAAATAAGAGTAATAGACTAGCTATTAGAATAAGTAATAGTTTTATCGAGATAGATCTACTAGTTAAATAAAATATCGCGACGCGTTATTATTCTTCTTTTCTATATCTATATTATAACTAATCTAGATTATATTATTATTAAATCTTCTAAAATTAAGAATAATAAAAAGACTTAGTATAATACTTTTATTCGAAAAGCTATATAAAAAGTAATCTAAGTCTTTAAAGATAAAATCTCTCGAAAAGAGCTTTTTTTAAATATAAAGTCTCGAAGTATATTAAATTTCGAAAACTTATAGTTAAATCTTCTTATAGTCGATATATAAATTCTAAAATAAAATAAAAGCTATCTATAAAGAAACTACGTGAAATTATTAATTAAATTAAAAATTATTTTAAGAGATATACTATAACTTAAGATCTTCTTATTATAAAATTTAAGCTTTATATTAATATATAAACGTTATAATAAGATTATTATAGACTCGAATATTATTATTATTAAGCTTATTAACGACGTTATTTATAATTAGAAGTTTTAATTAAGAGATAAAATTTTTATTAATATTATATAGTCTAATAAGAAGAATAAAAAGATATTCGATTCTCTAATAAGATTTATTTTACTATAGAATAAGAAGCTTAAATTTATATTACTCGATTTTACGATAAACGATATAAATCGAATAATTAATAATATAAGTCTTAAATAAATTCTTATATATTATATTATTAAGGGGCTATAAAATAGAATTATAAAAGTAAATTAATACTCTATTAAGACGAAATAAGATTCGAAAATTTAGATATATTACGTTACGTTAAAATTTTTAAAGAGAAATCGAGATATTTATAATACGTATAATTAATATAATATCTCGAGAAAAATATAGTTTTAAAAGAAGATAATAACTTTATATATAGCTATCTATCTTAAAAGAATATAGTAGCGATATTTAAGAAGAAATACGATATCGAGTATTATATTAATTACTCGTACTCGCTAGATTTATCGTTAATTGAGAATATATAAAGGCTTCTTAAATAACGTGTTAAAAGAAATCGTTATAAGACGAAAGAAGCCTTAAGGAACGTAATTATATACGAGTGGGAGCAAATTGATTAAAAGGAAATCAACAGATTAATCCTTAGTATGCCTGATCGTATGCAGGAGTGCTTGGATCGGGATGGTATGGGTACCAAGTACTAGAAATCATGTAGTCAAATAATGGTGTTTTGGTGTCTTAGTGTTTTGGTGGGGGAGTACCTCGACAAAACTGCCACTTACTCTGACAGCCAGCTGGTGGAAAGAGTATGTCGGATCTATCGGATTTAAGATGGCGTAAATGGGGGTAGATACATACGATTATCGTGTTGCACATTCGTCTCAGTTTCTTCTGTTTTCTTTTCACCTTACAGCACAAACCGACAGCTTCTTCCCCAGCCTATCGTTGGCCATTTAAACCCATGGCTTCATTGCGTCCAGCTGTTCGCGGTCGTGTTGTCGGAGCTTTGACCTGCCAGAGAGACTCATATATCAGAAACCTCGATACGGAAGTAGTATCATGCAGCCAACTTCTATCGCCAAAGGCCGATCTCTCTGTTATCAAAACCAAGACCAAGGCAGCCGAAGCTTCCACTAACGAGAAATCTTCTTCTGCTTCTCCACAGTGGTTGATCGAATTTGCTGACTCGGTGCTTTTCCCCGAGGGCACGTCTCTAACAATTGCCTCCCTCTCTATAACCTCATTATTCTGTGGCTAACGAGCTCTCAGGCGGCGGCCAACCGTCAGACTATGGTACTATTACCTCCTTGACCAATTCCTCACCCGACCCTACTCCGATCACATTCGTCACGCGCCAGGGACTTCACTGTGTTTGCCACTCTCCCAAACCCTTGCCACCTGGTACTCCTGTACGTCAAGATGTCGACTTTCGGCGTCGTTGGGACCACATGCAACAACATACAGGCCAGCATTTGCTCTCTGCTATCATGGATGGATATGATGATCTGGAGACACTTGGATGGGGCATGGGAGCAGGGAATGATATGAGCTATGTGGACGTGCCCCGAAAACCGTCCGACGATGAAATGCAAAGCATTCAAGAGAACTGCAACGCTGCTATACGACAAAACATTGGGATCACAGTCGAGACCCCTGACAACGCCAAAAGTGACAAGTTGCCTGATGACTATGACAAGGAAGGAGGAGTTGTCCGTGTTGTTAAGATCGGAAATCTCGACGCCAACACGTAAGCCCGCTCTCGATTTAATTTCTTTAATTCCTTTTTTAGTCGATTGACTTTACCACAACAGATGCTGCGGTACTCACCTTCGTCAAACATCGCATATCTCCCTCCTCCTGTTAGGTTCTACTCAGTCCGTCCACTCCACCAAGTGTCGTCTGTTCTTCACAGCGGGAGACCGAGCTATCAACCTAGCCACAGCTTCTATCCATTCTGTCCGTTCTATTGCGAGACTTGTGTCGTCAGCAACTACTCCTGCAGAAGTGCTCGCTAATGTGAGTAAGGTGAAAGAGAATGCTACGGAGTTGAAGAAGTCAGAGACGAAACTGCTCACGGACATTGCAAAGTATGAAGCGGATCGTGTGAAGGCTGTTTTGAGCACCGGGATGAATGCATTCGTTTATCGTGCTGTGCAAGGATTAGACTTCATCAATATGGTTGTTGCTCAAGTCAAAGAAGCCGTTGAAGAGGGTGCAGTGCTTGTTTTGGCTTCGGGAGAGGGAACCAAAGGAGGTCAAATCGTTATCATTGGGGACAAAGATTCTGTCGAAGACTTTGCCACCAAGATTAAGGAAGTGGTACCTGAAATCAAAGGTGGTGGAAAGGGGGGAAGGTGGCAAGGAAAAGTGATTGAATGGCGGAAGGGCGAATTGGAAGCATTGAAGAAGCAAGCCATCGGCTGAAGGAGCGAGAAACAGTGACCTCGATGCGAGTGCCGCTGTTCAATGCTGCCCGAGCGTAGATCATAACAGGCTGCTACTCATGTGCTGATCTAAACGCCTCTGACGCTTGCATTGGCCCCACTCTTCGAGCTCTTGTTGTTCGATAGAGCTAAGATTTCCCCTTCTCTTTAGGATGTAGCCATCACACCAGCTTTCTTCGAAAACCGCTGTTAGCAGGGAGAGTGCAGAGCACATTTGCGATTAGCTTAAGGATATACTTTATCTCGAAAGCAAATGCCAAATGATACTCGGACTTCTGCAACTTTACATAGCAAGTTCAAGCACCCAACTATACCAACTCTGATTCCCATCGTATCGCTTTTGTACCGCTTCAAGTTCAGTGTAGATGTTGAATCCTTGGACTACGTCGGATAACCGTATAGGCGAGTCCGTATCCCTACATAAAGATACTGTCCTTCCAAGACTTGGACCAAAATCCCGAGCTCAGCCTCAGACTTTCAATCCCGGCCCCGAAGAAATACAGGGTCTTTGCACGACAGCTTACCCTCTTACGGCTTTCGAGCAGTGACTTGACAGGTTTCGAACATGCTCATTAAGCGAGTCTCTTTATCAAGCGGTTAAGAATGGTATGGCTGCTTATGGGAACCAGTAGGGCCGTTAAAGCCCTGTGCAAAGACTCTGTACGAGGGTGGTTTGCAGAAGTCCTTGGACATGCCGAGATTATTCCGGTTCCCCCACTAAAGATTCCTACTATTTGATAGAGAAGTCTACTTCTTTTCTACATACCACTAGCATTCAATGCTTAATCCATCACGTTCCTTACACTGTTCTACACGCTTCTGCATGTGACAGTCTTTATCCAATTTGCCTCCTTTAGGCCCTCTTCGATTACTCCCAAGGATATATTCATCAATTTCCCATTGTTCGATGCGGTCCCACTCCTCTTCAATAGCATCACGTAGTTGTTGATGCGTCATGGAATGATGTAGCTTGACTCGAGACTTTAAGATACGCCACACGTTCTCAATTGGGTTGAGATCTGGTGAATTGGCTGGCCAATCATCAATGTAATCGAGATCCATATCGGCTTTGGCCCACCGACAGCAATTGTCTAGAGTTCTGGTACCGGGAGACCCATCGTGGTCTTCCTGAAAGATCATGCCCTCGCCACGTGCCTCCAGATACTCTTTGCGTTGTCGTACAATAGGAAGAATGTCATGAGTGTACCGTTCCTGAGTCATTGGTCCACCCAATTTGCAATTTTGTTGACGAACCTTCCCATTTTTGTAACGTTTGTCAACTCCCTCGGTGTATCGATCAAACACTAATCGAGATTTGAACCCCACGGCTACCATGGCCCACACAGAAAATTGAGAAGCTGCAGTACGACCACGTTTCTGTATGCAATCGCCGCAGGAACGCTCTGATCTGAGGCGTATAACCCAATCCGTATGCCGAGAATTTTGATGAAAATAAGACTCATCAGAGAAATAAACCTATTTACGGTCAATTTCTCCAGGATCAGCCTTGAAAACTTGAGAGATATATACCATTTTCCATTTCCACTCCGGCCAATGATGCTCTTGACACCATGATTTCCGCTTGCCCGCTTGATCCTGACTTATCCAACTTTTTTGACACGCCCGACACTTGTGATAACCCCACCGATTCATGTGATGTCGTACGCTATCTGAAGATAAGGGTGGGCCGAACTCCAGAGGTGGATACGCTGGCACGGGGGCGAAATCTGGGGCTAAAGTATCCCAATCCTTGATACGCTGTAGATACCGACCTTGTAATGAGTGAATCATCTTTTTGATAGTGTCATTGTCGAGTTTGCAAGGTGCTCCGGAATGTGATTTGCCAGGGCGACGAGTAGAGGGTTCGTAAATAGTGTACTGAGTACTGCGTGGGATATTTGTCTCGGTACGAATTTGGCTGCCGGTATACCCCAATTTCTTCATTCTTTTGACATCGCGACGTTTCGGTGTAGGCCACTCGGTATCTGATTGGTGAATAGGATCGGATGAGAAGGTATGTGTACTAACACGCTTGCGTTTAGTACCAGCCATGTGGTGTGGAGTGGTGTGGATGTGGACATGGGTAGAAAAAGGAGGTAAGCTACCGGAATAATCTCGGCATGTCCAAGGACTTCTGCAAACCACCCTCGTCCCACTCGGTAGCTACAATGTGACAACTTCGACTCGGCCAGCAAGAAGCTTGGGCGCTACATGCCAACAAGTTCGAGCGTATTCGATGGACCGGCACGGTGCGTGTTTCAATCGATTGTCGATGCAGTCATGACAGACATCTCATCATCCTCAAACCTCCTCACCACGTTTTCGGGCAATTCGACGTCACCCCATCCGCCGGCAAGCGTCGCATATTCGGGTGTATAACCTGTTGGCCAGAAAGCAGATAGTCGATGCTGGTTTAGGTATATCCAGCATTTCAGAAGATCGTGGTTGAATAAATCGGGTAGGCCATAAACTTGAAAGGGTTGAGGACCGGAAGTCTTGCGTGTGACACTGTAGTATTCCGATTTTTTACGTTCCTCATCAATGTCTCCACGGGGTGGTCTGTTGTGGGGTATTCCATTCCCATCAACCTTGAAGACCAACCGTTTTCTGATACTCTCCTTGTTCAGCGAACAACCGTCCCACGAGGAAACCTCATCTATCACTCTTTCCCTGCATCTATCTGCTTCGCTACCGGTCAGATTGGTAATGAGCTCAGGGGCAGTTGGATGTTGGTGAGAAACGGTAGAAAACATGTCTGGTTGGCTTCCCTGGACTTCGTCTCCATCTGCAAAGTCATGTCCAGCCGTTGATGCCGTAGTGGATCCGGTCCGTGAGTTCAGCGATTCTGGTGCTGGATCTAGGGTTTCCCCCAAAGCTGTTTGTAGCGACTCATTATGGGCTGCGTGATCTCCGGGCGCAGTTTGAAGTTTTTCTAGATACCTGTATTGTCTCCCGTTGAAGATTACCGAGGTTTGGCTTGAGCTACCGGTGTTTCGTCGATTGAGGTTTGTTGATAGCTCGGGTAGTACTTGTATCGGTGACGAAGGTGCGCTTGGAATATGGGTCAATACTTCTTCTTGTTCTGCTATCAAAGGCCCGTCTGAAGTTTCGAGTAACTCCTCTTCTGCTCGACTGAGGTTTGTTGATGGCTCGGGTAGTACTTGTATCGGTGACGAAGGTGCGCTTGGAATATGGGTCAATGCTTCTTCTTGTTCTGCTATCAAAGGCCCGTCTGAAGTTTCGAGTAACTCCTCTTCTGCTGTTGCGGGTGTGGTATCGGCTAGTTGGTTTTCTGTTGCTGACCGACGGTACTCGAGATATAGAAGCCATGCTCGGGCATGTTCTGCTGCTGAATATTCTGCTGCTGAAGGAGAGGACATTGATCGCCGGCTAATATTTGGTAGATGACTGAGCTCGAATGAGAACTCGCAGAAGCTAATTATACAGTTAGTATAAAAGACGTTGAATTTTCACAAGAGGCCAAAAAAGATTTGAGGTCGCGAAGTTCTATACGTACTTCCATGCGAGTGTGTATATGAATGATAGTATACCAGAAGTTATAATACCACCGCGTTTCCATAATCGTAAGCGCTCGTCGAACCTCGAAGATTCATATAACGTATCAGATATCGATGCGTTGTGAAGAAACGGTAGAGTGAACGATAAGAGACCATCCACTAAAAGAACGGTGGGTACTGATAGTATGATAGCCAATATCAAGTGACGGGAAAGAATCCATAAACTTGCGGGCGCCTGTATATTCATTGTGATATACATTTTGAAGGTTAATAAGAGGAGATATTAGGGAACGAAGTCAGGTGCTAAATGCTTTGAATACCGTATGAACACGATAATGGCTATGAAGGTCTAGTGTAGTGTGAAGACTGGATACTGCCAAGCCACGCTAGGCCCAACTGGGCCATGTGTTGACAATTGGCCTGGAACCGTAACATAACCCCCATCTTCAAATCACCATGTCCGCATGGCTACTCGTCCCTGCATATCCTGCTTACCAGCCGTTAGAATCCAGAGACGTAAGGCGAGCACTGGTCCTGAATCTCCATGCCTTTCTCTGTTGCCTTGAGAATCGAATGCCTGCTGTGCATCACAGGCTCACTTGCTGCTGGAGGATCCGGGGACTTGTATTCTCCAAGTTCTTCTCACTTTTCCTTATCACATGCTAACCCTAGCCCTGTATCCCGTAAATCCACCGGCGTAACCCTATTGCTGTTAGCCGCTAATCCAGCCTTTCACCTATGTATTAATAGACCTTCTCGTGCTATGAAACCGGTGGCGTAGCTCAGGCGTTGCCGCGTGTCTCGGGGACGTGCTCGTGATATTAGTGCTTGTACTTAATTGCCCTTATAGCAGGCTTACTCCGGGATCGATATACTTATTTAAGAGATCGTATCGTAATCGTCTTAACTGCCCTTATAGCAGACTCATTATGCTCGTTACCGTTATCGTAGATTTTACGTTTCTATTTCTAGTAATATAATCTTCTATACTCGTAGATTAACATCGATCTTTACATTATACGTCGTATTTATCGAGCTTTAAAGTATAAATTTAAGTAGATATAAGTAATCTTTATTTTACTATTTATTTTATATAGAGTTATATACGTAATCTTATCTAATTAAATTACTTATTTCTATCTTTATTTATAAACTATTTTTATTTATACGCTCTTAAATTTAATTTAAATAATTTAAATAATTATAGCTATTATTACTATATATTTAAAAAATCTAAAATTTTATATAATAGATATATATAATTTAAATTTATATATAATATAATTTATAATTAAAAGGATATTGAAATTTAAATATAATATAAAGTAATTAATTTTAAAATCTAATTTCGATATTAAATTTAACTCTTAAAGAGTAAAAATACTTTAACTTAAGATATATCTAAATTTATAAGATTAAATTATATAATTTTTACTTTCTTAAAAAGTATTAGTTATTATTTATAATTTTAAAAAAAGATTAAGATATTATAATAGAGAAAAACTTATATTAAATTTAAATTTAAATTTAAATATATATATATATTTTTTTATTAAAGCTATCGAGCGAACTTTAATAAGCGATATTTAAATTTCTTATCTTTAAAGAAATATAAGATTAACTTTTATAGTTATTAGAGTATTAAAGTATATAAACTAGATCTTATAATTAAATAATTTTTATAAGATTTTAATAGAAAATTAGAAAGTTATTAAAAAGTTTAAGAGTAGAAAAAGAGATTTTAATAATTATTAATATTAATTAATTTACTTTTAAGATTTAATTTAAAAGTATATTAACTCTATATTTATAATTTATTATATATATAAATTTAAGATTTTATAATTTAACTCTATTTTATTCTATTATATATATTAACTATATACTTATTAAAAAATACTATTAAATATTAATAAATTAAAATAAAAACTCTTATTTTTCTTTTTATCGCTATTACGAAATATATTAAATTATCTTATTTAATATATAGATTAATCTTTTTAATTACTCTTTAATACTTTAACTTTAATAATTTTATCTTTTTATTTTTAAAAAGTGAATTAATATAGCTATATATTAAATATATATTAGAATTTAAACTTTTTAATAGTAAAAAGCTTATTAACTACGAGTTTTTAAGTATTTTTAATTCTTAGAAGAATTCTCTAAAACTTCTTAAATTCTTCGAAAGCTCTTTAAAGAATTTTCGAAGGTTTCTATAAAGATAATATTAAAGTAAATTTAAAATATAATTATTTTAATAACATTTAATTAATTTTAAGTTTACTATTAATAGTTTCTTAATAAAAGCCTTTAAAGAATTTTTAAAGCTTTTAAAGATCTAACTCTAAGAATTAAAATAGATATTATATTTTATTAAGAATTAAGAAAGATAGTATTAATATATATAATAGAATAAGATAGAGCTAAGTTAAAAAATCTTAAATTTATTAATAAAACTAATTATAAATTTAAGTTCGTTACGCGTTTAAATTAGATCGACTAAGTTAGCTCGCTAGCTCTTTCGAGATCTCTTATTATAAAATAAATATACGTTACTTATAAATATAATAACTTTTTTCTTTTCTATTAAAATCTTAAGATTTTTTTTTAAATTATAAAGTATAAAGTACGCTTTTTTATATTAAAAGAATTATAAAATTCGATTTAATAAGTAAGAGAAAGTAAGAAGCTTAAATAGCGTTTAATAAAACTCGTTTATTAAGTTTATCGATAGCTCTAATTAAAAAGAATATATATAAGTTTAAGTCTATAAATTAAATTTATAAAAGATAATTAATTTTTTTTCTAATATCGAGATTAAACTCGATTCTCGAAGAGTAAAAATACTTTAATTTAAGATTTACTTAGAACTATTAAATCGAACTTTAAAATTTCTTAAACTTATTAAAAAGCGTAAAATAAGTTTTATAATTTAGAAAAATATATAGTAAAATTTTAATAGAAAAAAGAGAAGTTATAGTAATAATAGATTTCTAAAGAATTAATTAATTTTAAATTAATTTTATTTACATTAATAAGAAGTTAATTTTAATATTAGTAATAATTATTATTTTTAATTTTATAATTTAAAGAATTTTTTACGAATTTTATAAATCTTACGAATTTTATAATTTTACGATTTTACGATTTTTTAGCGAGGGAGATTTATAAATTCGAATCGAGGACGAAGTTATTGAAAATAAAGAAAGAAGATAGAAAATTTAAAAAGAGGAAATTTGTTAGATTTCTAGAGATAATTATAATAGATAAAAGAGTATTTTAAATATTATTAATAATAAAAGTAGCTAGAAAGTCGAGTAATAAGACTTCTAGAAAATCTATTATAAATAAAATAAGAAAGAAAATCGTAATTAGATATATATCTAATATTAAAAAAAGAAATTATCTAAATAGTAAATTTAGTCTTTTATATATTTCTAATTATTTTTCTAATTATAGTCTATTAGCTATCGCCCTTCGCGAAATTAAATATTATTAAAAGATAATTAAGCTATTAATTTTAGAATCTTTATTTTAAAAACTTATTTAAGAAATTATATTAACTTTAATATAAATATATATTATATTTTCTTTTTTAATTAATATTAGTTATATATTTTTATTTATTTTTATTTTATAAATTAATTTTTTTTATTAAAGTTTATAGATATTTAATTATTATATTAATTCTCGAATTAGAATTTATATTATATAAGATAATTAATTTAAAATTCTAAAAAATTCTATTATATATAAAATTAAATATATTATAATTCTTATCTTAATATAGATATATATTATACTTACTTATTTAATTAATAAATAATTTATTTATATAATAGATTCTTATTATTATCTATAAAAGATTCTTATAAAAATTTATAAGATATTTTATTATTATATTAATCTTAAAACAAGTAAAGACCTATGAATTAAATTTGTAAAGTTGGATTTTTCTAAATTAAATCTAATTTTAGCTCTAGCTCTAAGTTAAATCGAACTCTAATCGCTTGCTATACGTTTTTAACCTATATATAAATATATATATACGAAGAGAGGCGTACTAAGGCCTAATTAGGAAGGTATATCGAGTATAAAGAATTAATTTATAATAATTACTTATAAAAAATAGAGAAAGACTATATTTTTATAATAAGAAGTATTAAAATATCGAAAAGAAATAGAGATAATATATTAGTTAATAGTATAAATTTTATATTATCTTCTATTATAATAAAATCTTTTAAATAATAAAATAGCTATTAGAGTAAGATATCGAATGATTTTAATTCGTTTAAATATATATCGTTCGATATTTCTTCTATAGAGATTTAATTAATTATAATTATTATAATAAATTCTTCTCTTATAACGTTATTATAATAATATATTATATTAATATAGTAGAGATAATAGACTAAGTTATAATAATATTCTTCGCTTACTAAGTAATAATTTAATATAAAACTATAAAGAGTATATAACGTGAAATCTTAGAGAGCTAAGCCGTATTCTTAATAATAATAGCCTTATTACCGCTTAATTTCTCTATAGTATTCTCTATAGTATTCTCCGTATTTATCTATTATAATTTCTTCTTTTACTTCTTTTTTTATAAAGTATTAGATTAAGTAACTAGCTAAGTAGTTAACTAAGTAAATAACTAATATAATATAAAATCTTAAAGAGCTAAGTTATATTCTTAACGATAATAACTTTATTACCGCTTAATTTCTTTATAATATTCTTTATATTTATCTATTATAATTTCTTCTTTTACTTCTTCTTTTATAGAGTATTAGATTAAATAGTAGACTAAATAGTTAACTAAGTAAATAACTAATATAATATAGAATCTTAAAGAGCTAAGTCGTATTCTTAATAATAATAATTTTATTACTATTTAATTTCTTTATAGTATTCTTCGCATTTATCTATTATAATTTCTTCTCTTACTTCTTTTTTTATAGAGTATTAGATTAAATAGCTAGCTAAGTAACTAATTAAGTAAATAATTAAATAATTAATTAACGATCTAACTAAGTAAATTATTAAGCTAATAAGATAGATAGTATTAATTAAGCGGCTAAGAAATATAATTAAAATAGAGTAATAAAAAACGAATTAAGAAGAAAGACGCGTTTTAAAAAGTAATATTGCTAGATTAAAAGATATTATCGCTAGCTTAAAAGAAGTATATAGAAGAGAATAATAATTGTAAATTCGTTTAGACTCTTTTTAAAAGTCTTTTAACGC